AGTATATAAACTATCACTGCAACCTTTAGTATATAAACTATCACTGCAACCTTTAGTATCTAAACTATCATTGCAACCAGTATAATATTGGTATACAGTCAGTCATATGACATCATGCCTTTTAGATGGAAGTGTAGTAGAAATTGTATAGTTTTTCTGTATACAGAAGTTTTCAGTTAAAGAACCGAGATATCGTTTCTTCCATATATGAACTGAAAATATTTTATAGATTTTTATGAATATTAGAAAACTTGATATTTTTACCAGTTGGAGAGCTGACAAAACAAATGTTCCTGGGGAGCTCTTTTCGATTTCAGTGAAGTTTATATATAACTAATTCTGTTTATCAGCAGTACTTTTTTTAATGAAACAATAGGAGGTACCAGAAGTTTGGACCTGATTACTGTTATATTTGTTGGTGCACTTGATATTAACAGGTAGTTGTGCCAGTGGAATATTGTATAAAATGTTTAAATATCTGTTACTTTTTATTAGAAACACTTTTCAAGTATAAAATAAATTTATTTTTTTACAGTGAGAATTTACTTTACTATATACAGTTAGGCCAGGGTAAACACATGGTTCCTGAATGAAAAATATTGTCCCTTGGAAAAGTATCCGCAAAATTGTCCCTGCTTCCCAAAAAGTCCCTGAAATGCCCTTGCATTTCATTGTTATATTATGAAATCTGCAGCAAGAATACTTTGCAAATAAGCATTTAGACAGTTTGTAGTAGAAGCAGCTATTACCCTGAATATGTAATAGAACATGTTATATAGTGATGACATATTATTAAAGTGTTAGATTGAACGTATGTTTGAAGCGAAGTGAAAATGGTATTGTCAAGCATAAAAATGGTTCTTGCATATGGAGTTAGGGCTCTTACGGGTACACGCTTTTCTACAAATATCCCGGATTTGATTTACAAACTATGGTCACCTTATGTTAGGGATAATACCATCAGTATCATAATATTTTTCTATTCAATCTTAGTAGCAGATGGGTTTATATTTAGCCCTAAAATATCCAATAAATACGAACACAAGGAAAAACTAAAGTTATAGAAGTATACCATTCAGCCCATGTAGGTCACTCCTGATTCAAAAATAAGAACAGAGAAGGGAAAAATAATTGTAAGTTTGAATTGTTTGAAGAGTGCAAAGTAAAAAGATTGAAAATATTCTTAATGACAGTATATTCGTTAAAAATAGCTCTACCTAGGCCTAAAAGTGGACTTGATAAAAGATTGAAAATATTCTTAATGACAGTATGTTTGAGGCCTAGGTACAGCTATTTAAAAAAAATGGACTTGATAAAAGATTGAAAAAAAGC